CAACAAAATCGAATTTGTTAAAAATAGCGAGCAACAAAATCAGGGATGCATAATCAATTCGGAAATCTGTTTAATTTACAATTTAAATGCGTTGTGCTGGTGTAGGATAAGCTAAGGGTGGTTTTTAAGCATTAAGGGTGCAGCAACAAAATCGGAATTAATGCAAATAGTTGGCAATAAAATCAGTAAAACGTAATTAACTAATCTTGAACATAATTAATTAAATATCTGACTAATTTGCAATTTTAGAGTATTTTTTTAAGGAGAAATTGCTTTGGGGGTAGTTTCCAGGGTTTAAAAATGAAATTACAAAATCGGGAATGGAGCAACAAATTAGCAACAAAAAAGCACTAAAAGAATATGTCCTTTTTTTTTATTTAACACAATTTTTTGAATGGCTGTGCTAACTTTAAACATAAGTTAGCACAGCTACTATTTTCTCCGAAACGGCTGGAGCAACAAAATTGGGAATTGAGCAACAAATTAGCAACAAAAGAGCACTAAATTTCTGTATAAATTTTAATCGATTGTGTTGAATTGGCTGTGTCAGCTTAATAGACGTCATCCCGAGCTGCTTCAAAGGGACAAATACTAACAAATTCGGACAGAGTTTGATGGATATTCTCTATAAATGGGCGGATTGCCTCTGTGTCATTTCCAGTCTCGACAGAACTTAAAATCATAGCTAGTAAGCCGATATCCAATTTCGCCCTAAAAAAATTGAGATTTGTTGTTGATTAGACTTCGGAGTTAAATAGTATAATACTTATTAAGTGTCATAAAAGTTTTATTACCTTAGATATTTTTCATTTTTACTCCAGGAGGATTTGCCATTGCCCCGTTAGCCACCTAAGATGTTGCCCGCTCAGCACGTGGCTCACGTTATTTTGCACGGACGTGGGGTTGGACTTTGCTGAGCATATATGCTGCTTTCAGCATTACATGTAGCATAATAACCTAAACAGAAAATGATACAAAAATTATACATTTCAAATTACAAATATGTTATGCGTAATGATACATTTCGCATTACATATTTCTTTTGTGGAGTTCTAAAATAATATAATTAACTTTACCTATACATACCAAGAAAATGCAACAATTAGCGCTAATAATGAATCCATTTTAGGAAAGTGAACGTTTCTTTTATGCTTTAGCAGCACTTTCCACATTCTCAGCTGTGATTGGATGACTCACAAACCATGGTAAAACTGTCCAGCTATCGCACATGTGACATGTAACTTGATTTTCAGATAAAATCATTATTTCCCAAATGTTTAAAACATTACAGACGTGTTTCCCAAATGATTTCACGTTGATTTGAAAAGAAAAAAATTGTTTTTAAAATTATGTCTGCTAACTATACATTCAATTAATTTTTATTAATTATAAATAAACTATTATTTCCTAAACTATGAAACTATATTCCTAAACTTGCCCAAACGATTCCCAAACTATTAAAATAATCAATAATAAGAAATATCAAATTTGTCTGCTAAGTATATCAAGGTGGAAAATATTTCACATTTTTAAAACACACAGTAAATGACAGCAAGCATATAACCTCAAATTTTGAGGTTATACGCTTTGGCCAATAATTGCCAGTAAATGCCACATTACTAGCATCAGTTTGTATCAAGTGTTTACACTTGCATTTTTACTGGCGTTAGTCGATTGGCGCCACTAAATCATTGCGTGTGTAAACTGGCCTTAAGCCCCTTGCAGAATGCCAGGCAACAGTGGGCAATAGAAACAGGAAATAACAAAAAAATCGTTAATTACAACCTAAAAAATTTGAATGCTATGATTGGTTGGCAACAGGCAACAGAATTTCCAAAGTAACGGAAACTCTGTGTCTAGTGCCTGTGTCACTGTTTATTCTGCATTTATACATGATTTCTGATTTTGATTCCCTGTTCCTATTGCCTATTGCCTAGCATTGTGCAAGGGGCTTAACGTGCGCCGCGACACACGTCACACAACATACAGATTTCGAGATAATTGCAAAAACGACTCCGCCCCGGGGCCGACTTCGCCCCGGTCTCTTCTATACTATTTTAATATTAGTGGAATATTATAAAAAAGTTTTTAGATTATTATTGTGGTCAACAAATTAACGTTCATATAATATTTCTTGGATATTATAATAATATTCTAATATTTATACATAATTATGAACAAAGATTTTATTTAATAAAGATAATAAAATTTATAATTTTTTTTACATTCTTACATATCCCTTACACTGATTAATAGACAATATTTATAACCATTTGTAATTAATTTTAAAACTATTATTCATTAAATATTTATAAATTTTTAAATTATTAAATTAAAAACAGTTTATTTATTTAATAGTTTATTCCCAAAAATTTAAAATATTTTTATAACATTAAATAATATTATTTCATATAATATTCATATAATATTATCAGGAGCGGACATATAACCATCTATTAATATTACTAGAATTTTGTATTTAATGTTCTAAGATTACGCCTAGAATATTACTTAATATTAAATAATATTATATACGCGCTGTTCAGGATTGCAAGCACCGCTATCAATTACCGCGATCGATACCGGTACCGCCATCCCTGAGCCGCCCTCTGAACGAGGCGACTTCGCGCCGCCCCCCCCCCCCCCCCCCCCCCCCCCCCCCCCCCCCCCCCCCCC